AAAAAAAAGGAGAAATTGTTTTCAGTATGAACGCTTTAATACGTTTTCTACAAAAAAAGGAAATGAAGCACACGTGCAGCATAGCCGCTGACAGACCTCAATATAATGATGTTTCTAATGGCCTCTGGTGTGCACTATGTGACAGTAAGTGTATTGACACTGTGCAGGCTTTCTACTGCTGCTCCTCCCTGTAGTTTCTGCTATGCTAATCCCTCCCTACATGTATGTTCAATGATTTATGGTTATAATAACCCAAAAAGAGGATTAAGCTAATTAAACCACAGCACTGCGCTTGTAATGAACACATCGGGAGGGAATACGCCACCCCCACATTTATGCCACACACACGTGCGCACACACATACAGAGTGTGGAAGCTACTGTGTCTTCAGGGTGTCCTCTTCGTCTTTTTTCCCCACAGTGAATGATTCTGCCTTTAAAAGCTCATCGTTGGTTAGCATGACTCGTCTGTGGAGTAATCAGAAGATTAAAGATACCCGAGCTCGCGTCGGGGCACCAGAAAACTAGCGGCTCCACTCTGGATTAGCTACAATAAAGCTACAGTGGTGGGTTCCCCCAGCTATGCCAGGTGCTGCCCTGGAATGTAATGCTACACTTAAAGCCATGCAATGGTTGCTGGGGATCATATAAGCCTGTAACATGCTGGATTTATGATGCCAAAGTTGCCGGTATTAATACAGACGAGGTCTTCAGGCTACGTACTGTGATCCTGGTGAAACTGCTAACACTGTATGATGACAACTGGAGGACATAAACCGCTGCAGTAAATGATGGTGTGGTTAAAGCTAAAGTTGAATAATGCTACCTTCAGGTGGTACAAATCTGCACATCCCCTATGCTGCGGATAAATGATGGGTTCAGCCCGAGTCACTCAGGCAGAAGTTTTTAAATCCAGGAGGCTTTTTTTTCTTACCTCGAAACTGATGAGTGGAAAATCAACCGTGCACTGGTTCCTGTCACTAAAACTACAGATACACTATGCTGCCAAAAGCATTCACTCACCCATCCAAATCATTGAATTCATGTGTTCCAATTACTTCCCAGACCGGAGGTGTATAAAATCAAGCAACTGGGCATGCAGACCGCTTTCCCAAACATTTCTGAAAGAGTGGGGGGCTCTCAGGAGCGCCAGCTAGAGGTGCGGAGAGTTTTGTTGAATGGGTTTCCACCCTGGAGCTTAATGATCCAGGTATGCGTCAGGTATTTATAAGCCATAAATACCATATTTCGGTTATTTATCTGTTATTTGTTATGATTATGATA